AAGGGGATGACAGAGGATGAGATGGCTGGATGGCATCACTCGATGGACATGAGTCTGAGTAAACTCCGGGAGTTGGCGATGGACAGGGAGGTCTGGCGTGCTGTGATTCATGGGGTCGCAAAGAGTCAGACACAACTGAGTGACTGAATTGAACTGAACTGATACATTCTTCCAGGAAATGTAGATGAAGCAAATGAAAATCAAGGTGGAATACTCAAGAGTTACTAATTTTTTCTCCTATTAAACTTAGCATCCATGTTTACTCTTTTTTTCTAGCAATGACAGGATGATCACTGATTCTTACGATGCTCCCCTAAACTTCGGTAGTTTTTTAAGTACTTGTCTCCATGGATGGAGGCAGAGAACTGCGGTTGAGGTGCTTTCTGATGTCATTTTCCTAGAGAAGGCACAAGTGGGGTTCACTTACCCAGCACCCCACATGATTTTGGCTTCGAGAGAGTTGAGAACGTTCCCAAGAGAGAAAACCTCAGCATATACAGATGTGCCTGAAGGGTGTCACGCCAAGTGAAATGTACAAAACAAAAGCAATGAGCAAAGGAAACAAAGCAGAAATAGACTTATAGTTACAGACAACAATTGTGGTTGCCAGAGGGAGGGGGCTGGGGGACAGATAAAACATGAAGGAGATGAAGAGATACACACTTCCAGCTGTGAGACTAGTTCTGGGATGTAACATAGAGAATAGAGTCAGTAAGACTGAAGCACCTTTATACAGTCAGAGCTACCATGTGACAAATGGTTGCTGGTCTTACTGTTGGTGATCATCTCATAATGTATAAAAATACTGAACCACAATGCTATACACCCATAAAATTATTCTACTGCATGTTAATTATAACTCAATTTTTTTTAAAGCTGTGTTCCCAGTGGCATAATGACCCTCTCCCGTCCACCTCCAATCCTCACAATATTTTCAATCTTCAAGCCAGCAGTCAACTAAGAGTGTAAGAAAGATGGAGCCAGACAGGATTTACAAAAGTAACCTGTATTCCAGCCAAAATATCTTTAAAAAGAAATCCCTTCTAAAGGGGTAGGGGACAAACTACATAAGACACAATACACTTAAAATATGTATTGAAATTACAAATCAAACTTGTCTATATGATTCCAAAGTACAAAACACGACATTAAAAGGCGTTCAAACAGCTCTTTTATACATCACAGTGTGAGTGGCACAAAATGTACTGACATTTCAAAAACACAAACCAAACTTGTTTTGGTTTTTTTTGTTTGTTTGTTTGTTTTTACCACCACTTGTCAAATACATAATGTATACATGTGCATGACTCATTCATGCATGTTTTTACACAAGAGTAGAATACACCCACGGTAAAATGAGATGAGGGAAAGGTCGGGTACCTACCCCTCCCTGAAGGCTGCTGGAATCTCGGAAGACAGGATTGTGCAAACTAAGGAGGGGCGAGCATGGGCTTGGCGCCCCCAAACAGCAGGCTCTCCGGGTCGGAACGCATCAGTCATTCTGCTTTCATGCACCCCCTTCTTTCCAGCTGGCAATTTTGACAACACCAGTCACAACTCTTCATTTTGTTTACTTTCATAAGGGCTTGGGTTAATGATAAGGAATAAACAAGCTTTGGTATTTTTGAAAGAGACCTTCAGGAAGCTTTATACATGCAAAATGTTTTCCCTTGATGATTTCACTGTGATTTATATATACATAGACAGGTATTTATTAATCAACAAGAATCTGAGAAATAGACCAAAAAAAAAAAAAAGCCCACCCTGGTTCTTTCCAGTACTCTCATTTTTAAACACAACCAAGGGAAAACACTCTCTTCTAATTTGCAAAATAACTTTTAACTTTTGGAACACAGGTGAGAAAGATGAAATAATCTTGGAGTAATTTCTGCATATCTGATAAGCCCCTTTCCCCGGGTCCTATGTGCTCATCAGGAATTTGTCTGGTTCTTAAACCGGTTTTAAGAAACAGTATGCTGTAAAGAGAATCTGTTCCCCTTTAAAAAGATTCCAGAAGGGGCAGACATCATTCCTTAGCTCCTCCCGGGGGTGAAGGAAACACTGATGGGCCAGCATTCGGGCCTTCAAAGGTTCTCTTTATGCTCAGGTCCTAGGTCGGTCTCTGCTGAGTCACCATCTACAACGACGCCCCTGAAGGCGCTGGTCCCCGGTGACAATGGTGAAGCTGGGCTGGCCAGGCTACAGGACGCAGGGCGGAGCCCGGCTCAGAGCCCAGGCATGGCCAGTGAAACTTCACTGCACCGTCCATTCCCAAAGGACTCCGATCACCACACCCTCCATCGCCCCCACCTAGCCAGGGGCACTCAGCCATAGTTCATTTCCGTGTTCTTCTTCCCCTCCCCAGCCCCCCAGAATTAAAGGCCTCTAAATGAATCAACAGATGTGTGCTTCCAGAGGGTCAGTGTGAACACCACCTGTCAAAGGTCATCTTCGATTAAAGCCACATCCGCAGTGTCAAACACCCAGGCTTTCCTGGAAGTGACGGCAAGGTCAGAAACCACAACACGGGCCATCTCCCCACATCCTGTGTACACCTGACATCAGGCCCGGTCCATCCTGTGTCCCCATGAACAACAGGGACGGTGCTCCTCGCTGAAAGGAGAGGCATCAGATGGTGATGCTGCAAGTCTCCAAAAGGCTCTCAAGGCGACCCTGCTGGTGTCTTTCTAGGGAACAGGCAGCTTTATTTTTGCTTTTCCTAAATTACACCGAGCACTGTCAGGCAGGCTTGATGTAAAAACTCAGAGCAAGCAGATGTGACTCAGGCCCCAGGGGACCTCAGAATCCCGGTGTGTCCTACCTGGGTCGCACCATGTGCGGTGAACTGTCAGGGCTAAAGGCACAGGGCTGGCAGGGGCTCTGCTTGTGCACAATCTACCCGTGGACTCCCCCAGGAGAACAGGCGGCCCAGCCTGCTAGGAATGAAAGGACCTGAGCACTGGCCCAGGAAAGGCAGCGTTTCCAATAGCTCTGGTCCCCACCCCGAAGGAAGGGGCACTACCGCCTGGACCCCTGGACCTGACGGGCAGCAGCAAGTACAGACAGGGTGATCTGGGATGGGAAGCTCTGCCCCGTGGGCCATTGGACACGGGCTGCAAGCCTGCTGTCTTCCATGAGAACTTTAAAAGGCATTCACAAATCGCAGTGAGCTCTCGAGCCTGGGCCACCAAGCTCACCTTCAGCCACAGAGACTCAGCGCCCAGGCTTCATCCAGGCAGATGGCCACGGGCATGTCCTCATCCTTAGTGAGTTTTCAAACTGCAATTATATGGAGGCTGATCTGCACATAATTTTGACACAGACTGGCTCCCTAAAATGGCTTCAGTTTCAAAAAGAAAATGAATCCTAGAGGGAAACAGTGATCCTGTTTCTCCTAAGCTGATTAAATGTTAACAAATAAAAGTCATTTCTCTATGAGAAGGTAATCGAGGACCTGAGATGGATACACAAACGCAGACGTCAAGGATACAAAACACCACGCTGTACCAACGTGCCTGACACAAGCAAACAACAGAGATAAAAGACTTCGTTTTCATTTTACTCTTTCGCGGAATGCTCAATAAGTTTTAAAAAGTTCCACCATGATCAATCCACAACAATCACCTACTATGTTTAGAAGTCCCAAGCTGGATGAAGTCAATGTGCTCTTTAAAAGCCACAGTAAAGCCAACTGTCTGTAAAGCAGACATTGCCCAAAGTTAACTTATGGAGCCCGGGATGTGTTATTGATCTGGGCATCCACCTGCCCTGGTCACGGTCACACACAGCTGTAAAAAGACCGAGTGGTAATACCCCCTCAATCAGAACAACTAAGTGAAGCAGAAGATTTTTTTTCAGCAGGGGCAAAGGGGTAAGCAGCGGGACTTGGAACTGTGTAAGAGAGATGATTTCCCCAGAATAACTCAGTCATGTCAAAAACCGTGAACATCCAGAAGCTTGTCCCCCAGCCCCTTGCCAGGAAGCCCTTCCCCTGGACTTCAGGGTCACTATTCCATTGGTTTTGTCTGCTTGAGGGGACTAACGCTGCGGCCAAACCACAGGGATTCTCAACAAAACTATTACCAAGTAAAACATTTGGTTTCTGAAGATATGAGAGGAGCCCTGTGATCCGAGCTGAATCGGTAGAGAGAGAATAACAAAAGGCGAACCTAGGGTGGAGATGTTCCTTTAAATGCATCAGTATGTTCAAAAGAAACTCAGTGATAAAGGAAACACGCTGATAACAGTATACAGCGCACAGCAATCCAAAAAGTCTCCATGAGCATCAAGAAAAGACACAAAGAGTACACAAGGCTTCCTAAATCTCCTGCAAAGTGGCCGAGCCAAAAAGGCCATTTCATCATAACTTCTTAAAACCGCACATCTTAAGAGAAGGCATACAATGGTTTCGATGCACCGTGTTGATTTTTCACTACTTGGTTGGGGGGTGGGGGGGAAGCCTTCTAAAAAGGATTTTACTAAATGCCATTAGTAATAAAAAGAGTTGTCCCAAACAGAATGCTTTTTCTCAAGTCAGAACACTCGGATTCTGCCTGAAGTGAAACGCAATCCTTAAAGGACTTCTCTCAGCCACGAGGAGGTGCCAGCTTGAAGCCAGGGAGGAGACAGACTGCACTCCACTTGAGATGATCCCCTCGGCAACATCAGAGGGTCCCGGTCCAGCGGGACGGGGAGAACGTCACCGGGGTGGGGGGCGCTCAGCACGGCACCTCCCTCGGCGAGTCTGCAGAGACCCACCCTGTGTGACGCGCCCCACCCACGCCAGCCTTGCCTCCCCCATGCCGGGGGTGACCGCACCTGGGGCCTCGGCCGACGACCTGACATCAGTCCCTGGAATCACGGCGTCCTGGCGTGACACTGTGAAGCTCAATGGGGCACATAAGGCAAGAGAGATGTTTAGTGAAAGGGGGACAGCGGGGTGGGGTGGGGGAACCACGCTTCCCGCAGGCAGGGGTCCTGCTCCAGCATCGTGCCGTTCTCTAGGTGGGCAGAGGGTCATCATCACCTTTACTGCACTTGCACTTGCAGCAAAGTACAAACGGAGTGGCCAGGAGCAGGAAAGGGGAAGCCACCAGGAGCAGGAGCCCAAATCCAGCAAAGATGCCCACGACCTGCAAGAAGGAAACAGGAGCAGAGGGTAAGGGGGCTGGTCTATAGGTTCCACAGCTTAAGTACGAGCCGCACAGCCACCCATTCAGCCATCACCCACCTACCCATCCATCCATCCACCTACCTATATCCATCTATCCATCCATCCACCCACCTATATCCACCTATATCCATTCATCTATCCATCCATCCATCCATCTATACATACATGTATACATTCACCTATAGCCACCCATCTATCCATCATCCACCCATGTATATCCACCATCTATCCAGCCATCCGTCCATGCATCCACTCATCCATCCATCCATCCATTATACACACAACATCCATCCATCTTTCCATACATCCATCATTTTTCCTTCCACTTGTCCATCCATCTATCCATCTATCTACAACCTGTATCATTCATCCATGTATCCATCAACCCATTTATTCACCCACTCATCATCTACCCACCATCCATCTATCCATCATCCATTCACCCATCCATCCATCTGCCCATAGTTCTTCCCCTTCACTTCCTTCCTTTCATTCTCCCTCTCTTTCCCCCTTTTCTTCTTCCTTTCCCTATCCCTTCTTTCATCAAAGTAACCAGACATCCATTCAATAATAGATCCAATTAGCCATCAAGCATCCTCTGAGACCAACACTGTATTAGGTGCTGCAAACACAGAGGCACAGGAGACCTTTGCTCTCAGCTACCACCCAGGCTGGTGGAAAGGCAGCATGATTACAGCTGATAATAATACAGTTTACAAAAACTGCTATCAGGTTCCAGGTATAAAGGAAACCTGGAGCCAGACATGTACATGAGCCATGGACAGGAGAGTGTGCAACGGGAAATGGTTGAGATTATAAAAGGCTTATGAGGAGATGGGTGGTAAACAGGAATGCCTGGGATAAAGCACTCCATGTGGGAGAGCAGAAAGGCATACACAGGTGCATGAGGGAGTAACCAGAAACCATGTGGCATCATCGACTCAGTGAACATGAGTTTGAGCAAACTCCAGGAGATAGTGAAGGACAGGGGAGCCTGGCGTGCTGCGGTCCATGGGGTCACCAAGAGTCAGACATGACTGAGTGACTGAACAAGACCTGTGTTATTCCTGGAGTTTTAAGTCCAACATGTACTGTTACCAATTTTGATTTGGCTTAGAACATACGTTTACCCCTAGGGATGAGTACATACCAAAGGAAATAAGCCTCAAGTGTACACATGCTGTCATTCAAATCAGGGAAGGAAGCTGGACAAAGAAGCTGGGAGGTTGCCCCTTACCTGGCTCCCTCCATCAGCTCCTACAGCCTGAATCAGAATCTGAACTGAAGGTGGAGTTTATCTGCCACCTAGTGTTCAGAGCGATAAATATGCAAATCCCGGGGCTCGCGGTTCTAATTCTGACTCAGTGTGTTCACCTCTCTGGGTTTCCTGCTAAGTCACTTCAGTCGTGTCCGACTCTTTGCGACCCCATGGACTCAAGCCCACCAGGCTCCCCTATCCGTGGAGATTCTCCAGGCAAGAATACTGGAGTGGGCTGCCATTTCCTCCTCCAGGGGGATCTTCTCGACCCAGGAATCGAACCCGTGTCTCTTATGTCTCCTGCCTTGGCAGGCAGGTTCTTTACCACTAGCACCACCTAGGAAGCAGTTCTCAATGATAAAATAAACAAATGAAGTAAAACATCTCTGAGGGTTAGTATCAGCTCTGAAATATGATAATATGCTACAGCACCACAGAGGGGTGAACGAAAGTGTCCCTTGACTTTTGATTTTACCTGAAGACTATCACAGGCACATGCATACACCTGCACACACACATACACACACACACACATACACACATCATATGGTATTTATAAATTAGACTGTGTGAGTCCAGGCTTTTTGATGAGCTGGCTAAGTCCACTTGTCTGAACTTAACGTCAGTGGTGCAATTGTGAGGTCTGAATTCAGATCACACTCTGATAAAACCACACACACAGGCTATTTCAAAATACATAAAAACCCACAGGAAGGCATCGCTGATCTGCAGGGCACCTTGAACAACCTCAGCCACTGGGAACACACTCTCATTCTCCAGGGAGCCAGGGACTCTTGCATCAAAAACAGACCAAAACCCTTGAGCAGATGCTCACATCCTTGGTCAACAAGACACCTTCGCTTTCGCTGTCTACCTTGTCTCATTCTCGGCATGCTGTGGAACCAGCCATACCCCATTGTTCCCAACTGGTGACAGTGAAACAAAGCAGGACCCTAAGGTCCTTGCCCCCGCCCTAGGTCCTCTTCTTCCTTTCGTCTGCGGAAATACTTGAGGCAAAGAACAAGTTTGATCAGAGAAGTGAGAATACGCAGAAACAAAGGCAGACAATAAAAGGAGACCAAATAACAACAGTTTAAGTCACTAAGCGAAGTCAAGGACTTTCAGTTCCTCCTCAAGGGCTAGAGATAATATTCGGAGCCGTGTCCTGTGAGCTGTCTTGTAGATAGCGAATCCCCCACCTGGTGGAGGTGTTAATTACATGATGACCAGACTGCAATCACGACACGAGCTGCCACAGTTCTGACAACTGTCCTCAAGGAGATGGGGACAAACCAACCCTGGAACTAAAGATTAACTGTACTTAAAACAATCAAGATGACACTGGTCAGACCACCGATGACCAATGTGAAGGTGACAGACAGCTGACTGTGCCCCCTCCTTCTGTCTATAAAAGCTCTTGTCCCCTGACTGCCGAGAGTGGTGGGAAAGTCAGCTTTTGGACAGGGGTCCACCCTTCGCCCTCCCAGCCCACCCTATTGCCAGCTTCCAAAATAAAGCAAACTTTCTTTCCAACCAACCTGGTCTCTTTATCGGCTTTTGAGCAGTGAGCAGCCAGGACCCACTTCCATATAAAAGGAGAAAACAGGTATAGTCAGAAGGGAAGTCAGCCGACAGAAAAGAATGAGACAGGGAGCAAAATATCTCACAACAAAAATCATCCCTCAGTGACCATCTTATAAACAAGTCAGGCAGAAATGATATACTGTGGGGACAGAGGATAAAGAGGGATTCACGTGAAACAAGGACACTTCACCCCAGGCAAACCCTGATTTAAAGGAGTGGTTACCCACTGAGACTGTTTCTGAAAGCACCCACTCATCAGGGCAGAGCCTGGTCTGTGTGACCATCACCAGCCCTCAAGCACGGCCCAGAGTCTCTGCCTTCACAAATGTCCAATATGTTCGTATAGGATGAACCAGTCCAGTGGAGTCTGGGAGGTTCTAGGTCCTCTCCCCTAGAGAGAGTTCTTCAACACAACTCCAGGGCTTGGTAGCGGTAAGCCAAGTCAAAGTGGTGGTGAAACAATCAAAACATTACGTCCATTGAAACCCGGCACTGAACGTGGCCCTGGTGCTCGGAGCTCAGGTCAGAGAGGCTGTGTCTGGGGATACAGGGGGCTGCTCCGACGTCTCTTCCCAGCTCTCCATGCAACGGCATCACCTTGGCAGCTTGAAACGGCTATCCCAGGAGAGTTGACACCGCAGAAGAGACCAAAAGTACAGTGTAGCCCACCCCGCGCCCCCGGCCCATGGCCAGCTGACAACAATTCTCAGAACACTGGCCGCGCGTGTGTGTGCCTCAAGGCAGGGGATGGATGAGTTCAGAGGGCAGGCAGCCTGCCTGCTTTTCACTGAAGGTGCCTCTGCTCAACCTCACCAGCACTGAGAGGGGCCTGAGATCAGGGGCGCGTCCCTCGTCCACGTGGCTCCAGGGGTGGCTCAGAGCTGACGCTGAGCATTTGCCCCTCAAAGGTGCTGACTGATGAGGCCAAGAGGAGCTGGTGGGAGGCGTCCACAGCCTTCTTCCTCAACAATGGTGGAGGCCGGGAAGCCCTGTCCAAGTGTCTGCATTTCTTCGGGGCCTGTTCTCCAAGTGCCTGTTACCAGCGCCGCTTACGACCCCGGAAACACGAGGCTCACTCCTGAGAATGAACGGCATGAGGTTTGAGGTGTGACCACACAGCCCAACCTTGCCATCAGACAGGGTGACAGTCTCCACCAGCACTCAGGCGCTCCTGGGATGCTCGCTGTGGCTCCAGCCACGTGGAGACATGGGAAGGAGAGAAAACAGCTCCTTGTTTGGAAACAGGGTCTTTACGGAGATTGCTGTTGTTGTTGTTCAGTCCGACTCTTTGCAACCCCATGGAATGCAGCATGCCAGGCTTTCCTGTCCCTCACCAACTCCCAGAGCTTGCTCAAACTCATGTCCATAGAGTCAGCGATGCCATCCAACCATCTCGTCCTCTGTTGTCCCCTTCTCCTCCTGCTTTCAATCTTTCCCAGCATCAGGGTCTTTTAAAATGCGTCAGCTCTTCACGTCAGGTGGCCAAAGTATTGGGGTTTCAGCATCAGTCCTTGCAGTGAATATTCAGGGTTGATTTCCTTTAGGATGGACTGGGTGGATCTCCTTGCTGTCCAAGAGTCTCTAAAGGGATTTTGGAGCCCAAGAAAATAAAATGTATTGCTGTTTCCACCTTCTCCTCATCTATTTGCCATGAAGGGAGGGGACTGGAAGCCATGATCTTAAGTTTTTTGACTGTTGAGTTTTAAGCCAGCCTTTTCACTCCCCTCTTTCACTTTCATCAAGAGGCTCTTCAGTTCTTTACAGAGGGAATCAGGTTGAGATGACATTCCCAGGGTGGACCCTAATCCATTACAACCGGTGTCTTCACCAAGAGGGACGTCTGGACGCAGAGACAAGGTGAATTGCCGGAGGGACACACCTGTGAACCGAGAAGCCAGGGTCGCAGGGCCCCACCTGTAGCTGGAGGAGGCAGGTGGAGCCTCCTACAGGTTCCAAGGGAGACAGGCCCTGTCCACACCTCGACTTCAGCCTCCTGGCCTCTAGAACTACGGGAGAGTCCGTTTCTGTTGTTCAGTGTCTTGTTCCAGCATAAAGGGGGCGGGGGAGCCCTGGAGCTGGCTGTGCTGGCCCGGAAGGCAAAGTAAAATGCAGCTCAAATCCGCTCTCACACTGAGGTCAGCAGACTGGCCCTGGGGCCAGATGGAGTTCACAGTCCACTGTGCTTTGTTTTCTTCTTACGACTTATGGAGCTGTAACTTACACACCTTACAACTCAGCCACTTAATGCCCAATTTATGGGTTTTAGTGCACTCAGTTGCTCAACTTGCACCCCAGTCAATGCCACCCCTTGCTTTTTAAAAGTGATTTCCTAGAATGCAGCCACGGGCCTTTGCTGACATACTGTCTGCAGCACCGGCCTCCCCACAAGGCAGAGAGGACAGTTGCAAAGCCAGACTGTCTACCGTCGGCCGGCCAGGGACCCGTTGGCCCTGCCACGGGGTCTGCAGTGGGGATCACGGGAGAAGCACAGTTACAGGCAGTCTGTCTCTGTTCCTAAGAAACCGCCTGAGACTCGGTTCCTGCGTCTCCCAGACGGCCTGCCTCGGGGCTGTGCTGAGATGTGCCAGAGAACAGGGCTGGAGCCCACTGAGGCTCTTCCCTACCCCAGGAGCTGGCGTGCACTGAGGCCTGCCTGCCGGTCCCTTCAGGGGCTTCCCTCCACGCCCGCAGCACACCTGAACATCATACCATGGCTTGCAGTGCCCATGGTGTCCACCCTGATCATCTCTGACCACTGCTACCTCCTTCTGCTCTGTCCGCATGGACTTCTACGCCATATTCTGCCCTTCAGCCCAACTCTGTCCCCCTGTATGAACTGTCCCTCCTCTGGCTGGACAGTCCCCTCTGCCCTGTCCCACCTACTCCCACCACAAGCTCCCCATCACTCAGTCCTTGGCCATAGGCATCACCTCTAAGAAGCCTTCCAGGCCGCACCATCTAAAGACCCCTCCCAATCACCCCTCCCCTACAGCTGAATTCACACCATATGCTGCTCCTGGTTCACTGTCCCTACAGGAGATGCGGGGCCATAAGGGAAAGATCCATCGATCTCCTTCACCAGAGTGTTTCCAACACTTGAACAGTGCCAAGCACACACGAGGAAAAAAACATCTGCTGAAAGTATGAATAACCCCACCAACCGGCTGCATAGACGTCACCGTGTGAAGACCTTTCCATCCCTTCCCTCTTATCCTTCCCTGTGACTAACACGCTCACCCGGGGGCCTCTGTGGGAAGCTCTTCAATAAGAGTCAGCAAGGATGGACCACGCACAGCGGGCCATGACCAAGGCCGGGAGTAGGCACAAGCAACTGGATGGCTGATGTTGAAGAACCACCGCGTGCTAAAATGTGTGGCGTATTCATGTTAGGTAAAGAATCTGCCTGCAATGCAGGAGACCTGGGTTCGATTCCTCAGTCGGGAAGATCCCCTGGAGAAGAAAATGGCAACCTACTCCAGTATTCCTGCCTGGAGACTCCTATGAACAGAGGAACCTGGATGGCTACAGTCCATGGGGTCGCAAGAGTTGGACACAACTTAGCGACTAAACCACCACCAGCACCATTCATGTTAGGCAGGCCTACCGAAAGCATAATCTCGGTCCAGGAAAAACTCTGGCAGCTACCGCATTTACTAGCTGTTTTTCTGTATGAGAGATCTTTGACCAGCTGGCAAGTCTCCTGTAAATGACACACACAGGTCCTGTTTCTCTCTCTCTCTCTGTGGCTCTGTCCCCGAGATCAAAACCCCAGGCATGCCGCCTCCTACCTGTGTCCGATGCCAGATGACAGACGCCCTGGAGTGGCCCAGCTTGTTCCTGCAGGGCCCTTTATCATAATGGATCAGGAGGAAGTCGTCCTGCAGAGGGAGAGAAAGAACAGAGGGGCATGGGACAGCACGCTCCGCTCAGCGCGTCCCGGCTGCTCCCGAGGTTTGCAGCAGTCTGTCATATTCCCATATTCCCTCTCTTTCCTTTCCTAATATTTAGAACTAGAGTTCCTATCTCAGGTATCCGATTGAGAAGAGAGAAAACCGACTGACTGATTCTGGGTGGCCATCCCAGACTCCTCTCTGCTGAGTGCTCCAGAGTCTCAGTTCAAGTGCGGTGAGAATTCTTGACAGGAAAGAAGAGGCTTATCTTTTTGAATTAATACAAAGACTAATTAATACAAAAATGAATACAAAAAATTAATATAAAATGAATGCAAAAATTAATTAATATAAAAATGAATACAAAAAACTAATTAATACAAAAATACAAAAAAAAGTATTACAAAAATTACTGCAAAGACTACATGTTTAAATCAATAAATGGTAAAGACTGTGTTGTCTATACCTGTGCATTCCCCAGAATAAAAATGTAGAATTATTAAAACAAAGAACTAATTAATACAAAAACTAATACAAAAAACTAATTAATACAAAAATTACTACAAAGACTACACCTTTTCAATAAATGGTAAAAACCATCTTGTCTATACCTGCGCATTCCCCAGAATAAAAATGTAGAATTATTAAAGAAAGTTATTCCAAATAATGGAGGAGGAAATGGCAACCCACTCCAGTATTCTTGCCTGGAGAATCCCAGGGACAGAGCAGCCTGGTGGGCTGCCGTCTATGGGGTCGCACAGAGTTGGACACGACTGAAGCGACTTAGCAGCAGCAGCAGCATTCCAAATAAACCTTATTGTTAAATGAAAAAAAAAAAAAACCACTCAAAATGAGGGAACACGTACTACAGCAGAGGAAGCAAGTTCACAGAAGGGGCTGCGGTCAACCTGGCCTCCTGGTCCCCCTCCATCGTCCGTGACCAAAGGCTCACAGGCCACGAGAGGGAGCCCTGCTCCCACCTCGGCCCTGGTCCAAGCCTGGCTCCGGCTTCAGGAATCCGCGCTGATGCAGGGCTTCTGAAGAAGTAGGTCAGAGGCTGGGCTGCTCCAGGAGCCGCCAGCAGACCCAGGGCTGAGCTTTCTTCCCTGGAGTCCCTGCCTTCCTGCCGCCCTGGCAGAATTACTCCCAGATGAGATGACTTCCGGTGTGTGTACGGTCCATCCATGGCCTCTAGCACCAGTCTTTTCACTCAGAAAGTGCTTCTTCTCCTCTCAGACCAGAAAACATTCTCACGGCTCAAGAGCTGGCTGGAGACCAGTCTTCCGTCCACAGTGCCCCCCGACTGTCTAGAACGGAGAGGAGACTCCCTTCTGATTTGGCGGAAACGTCCTAGCCACCCACCCCCACCACCACCTCCAATCACCTGGGAGTCTTCACCAGACCAGCAAGACCTCCTGGAGTCAGGCCCCTGAAGCAACGTCAGCCTCGGTAACTACATCGCCGGCTCGGAGCTTGACACCCAGACTTCAGCAAGCAGGAACCGAGGTGCAGGAGGCTGTTTTCTGCACAAACCCCTCTGCTCCTCCGTTCACAGGAGGGGCTGTTTTCTCTCCTATCACCCACAAGGAGAACCAGCTCAGCAAGCAGCATAGAAGGGAGGCCCATGCTGTTTCTTCATGCAACCGAGAGTGTGAACAGAGCACCTCTCTGAGAGAAGAGCAAATAAGCCCGGGCCAGTGTGTCTGAGACAGGAAGCCATTCCTCTTGGAGCTGGGCAGAGCTGGTCACGGTGGTGTCCCTTAGCATCCCCGCAGGTGGCACTGCCCGGGAGCCCTCCTCTGGTCCTGGGAACCGCCGGCATCCAGTCTGATGACCTCAGAGGTCAGCCTCCTGGAATCTGAATGGGCCCTGGAGCAGCAGGAAATTCTGGTTTCAGGGGGTGGTAGTGAGATGCCTTCCAGGGAGGTGAGCGGTCCCAGCCTGCCCCCTGTCACCTTACCCCCCAGTCCCAGCCCCTCAGCCGTCCAGGAGAACACGGGCGGAGATGACTACACGGCTCGGCCGGCCGGGGATGTCTTCTCAAAGCCATTTCTAATGACTTGTTTCCACTGGGCACTGTCTCTTCCTTGAACTCCTCGTTCTATTTTCTTCCACTCACATACCACGGAGGTTAACTTTTCACCCGGGGTCTCATTTTGCCAGGCTGCTCTTCACAAAGTCTTGCTCCAGAGGCTCGTGGATACTGTTTGGATTTGTCTTCTGAAACACAAGGCAAACTGTGCTGTCTCGCCCAGCTGCGATGTCTGCAGGGATCTCCTCCGGCAAAGCTGCACAAACCCTGTTGCTCGTTACAGTCACCGGGAGCCCTCGGGGGCCGCAGCTCCTGACTCCGGGTCCAGGATGGGCCCGGGTTACAGACGCCCCGTGTGAGCTTCATCAACCGGCCATGGACCAGTGCGTGGGGGCAATGAGCCCCTATGATGGAGGTCAACCTCCATCTCAGCCCGGAGACCCCGGTCACAGCCCCCACCTCAGCCAGGCCCAGGCCACGTACAGCTCATGTCCTTCCTCACCACATCCTCTTCCCTGGAGGTGGCCCGCCTCCCACACTCTGCCCTCTGCCCGGTCAGTGAACTCTCCATCAGCTATGCCCACACCCTCAATGCCCCTGTACCCAGGGACCGACCCCCACCCCCGGAGGGGCTGCCAGAGACCCCATACGCACTGTCTTGCAGCACCACCCACAGGGACCTAGTGCTACCAGGGGCTTCTCGACCCGGGGACCACCAACTCCTCGGGGTCACGGACTCTGTCGGCCTCAACTTGGCAGTCCCCCCCTTCATGCAGAGCGGGGCTGTTGACGCTCATGGCACGTTTCCTGAATGAAACGAAAGCTTTCCCCCTGACAAAAGCACTGGAAGATGCTTTCACAATGTAACAGTGATTTCATTGTGACTGTAAGTTCCTGAATGAAGGCCTGGGGAATAACCACCGCAGGGCCTGCCAGGAACCCAGGTGGGTGGTGAGCGTGAACATTTCCTTCACATTGTCCAGAGGAGCCGCATCAAGCTCCTGGGTGAACGCAGAAACAATGGAGCTGGCAATAGAGCTCAGCAGCCAGATGCTCAGAGATGAATGAGTGAACTCAGAGCAGCCCCACCACGGAAGGCCTGAGACTTCCTGTCCCACTGAGTCGGGCCTGCCTGACAGAGGCCAGTCTAACCCACGTGCTGGGGTTTGGAGTCTGAAAGACCCGAGAATGGATGCTGGGTCTGTTCCTCACTCTTTTGGGGCTTTGGGAAACGATCACTAACCTTCGTGGGCTTCTTAAAAATAGGAAATAATCATTCCACCTCTCACACCAGAATCTGATGCCTAATGATCTACAGAGGAGCTGATGCAATAATCATAAAGTGCATGATAAATGTAATGCCCTTGAATCATCCCCAAACCATCCACCCTCCCACCACCGTGCATGGAAAAACCATCTTCCATGAAACTGGTCGCTGGAGCCAAAAAGGTTGGGCGTGGTTGGATGAAGTAACAGAGGTATGCAGAGCAAAGCACAGAGGCTGCACTTCATACATAGTAACGATTCACTTGCCCCCAAAAGAAAGAAAGTGAGTGGGTCCCCCCGACTGTAAGTAGTGACTGCGGGGCCAGCAGTGCAGCAGATGAGCGGGTGTGGTCCAGGGCTTCCCCTGGAGGACTGGAGGCCCGGCCCAGCTGGGTGGGCGGGTGAGGACCAGGATGGAAGGCAGCGGCGGAAGATGAGGGGTAACTCCGTGAGGCACATGGGTGCCCAGGAGCTGGTGCAGGGAAGGAAAATTCCCCGGGAGGGACGGGAGACCTGCCAGCCCCGTCTCCGCTCCGGACGTGCCGTTGCATCCAGACCTGGTTCACACACTTACTTTGAGTCCCGGCTACTGTCCTTGATTGACTGCCCCAGAGCAGACTCCCTGTCCTTCAGGGTCTGCTTTCTGTGGCCACAGGGTCACAGGCAGCAGCTGCTCATCTACAGAGAAAAGCAGGACACTCCTAGCCTCCAGGATGCCGGCTTTCGAGGAGGAAATTGCTGCCTTGGTCCCTGGGAGCCTGAAAACAATGGGACCTCTAGCTGGCAGGAACTGTATTTTAGAACTGAGTCCGATGGACACATGGACGGACAGACAAGGTGTCTCTCCAGAGACCAGAGCAGAGAGAGAACAGCTTTGGGCTCAAGGGAGACAGGCCGAGAGGATGTCAAGGTTGCAGGAGAGGTCATAGCAAAGCTATGGTCTCTCTGGAAGTCCGGCTCTGTATCTGTCCACGTCTAATACTCCCCCCCAGAATCCACTGGGAGGTTTGATAATGTGTAGTTAAAACCAGTGTTTCACTTCCTTTCCCTTTTAGGAAAAGTTGATAAGGAATTGGGAAATTGCAGGACAGAGAGTAGATAATATAATAATGATCAGTTTTCAAAAAAAAAAAATACAGTGAAGTGTAAAATTATATATCATATATTTATATAATATAGAGAGACTATGTATGATATATAGAGAGTATATACAGAATTATATAATATAGAAGACTATGTGCTAAGTTGCTTCAATCATGTTTGACTCTTTGTGACCCCATGGACTGTAGCCCGCCAGGTTTCCTTGTCCATAGGATTCTCCAGGTCAGAATACTGGAGTTGGTTGCCACGTCTTCCTCCAGGGGATCTTTCCGATATATAGAAAGACTATGTATAGACTGAAAAGTGTTTGTTGCTAAGTCATGTCTGGCTCTTTGCAACCCTGTGGACTGTAAGCCTTTCAGGCTCCTCTGTCCATGGAATTCTCCAGGGAAGAATACTGGAGTGGGTATCCATTCCCTTCTAAAGGGGATCTTCCTGACCCAGGGATCGATCCCAGTTCTTGTGCATTGCAGGCAGATTCTCCACAACTGAACTATCAGGGAAGCCCTATATACATATATATATATATGATACATAGAGAAACCATATACATATAGACTTTGAAGACCATAAGGACTTGGTAATGCTTCAGATATCATTCTAAATATCCCCTTCCCATTGCATGAAGTCAGTGAACAAACCTATTATTGGTTTTAAGTTAAAGAAAATTAACCTTGCCAAAGTGACTTATTAAACTTGCTTAGGAAAGGGAAAGGAAACCTCCAGGACAGAAAGATGGCAATATACTCCCCAGATTTGTTCAGTTACACAAAGATCTCCTATACCTTTAGTGACTTCAAGTTAACAAAGGAGCAACAGGCTTTTCAAAAGGAAAAACCAGAAAGAAGCAATCTGTATAATATTTTTATAGGTGGCCTTTGAATTACAGACCTGTTAGCTTATTCAAGCGTCCATCTCAAACAGACATTCATTTTCTTCTTGACAGTCTCTAGACCTGTCCATCTTGGGACAGGCAAACTTTCAAAGTTCTCCCACTTTGCACACTGTTAAGAATTCTTTCTCCTTCTCCTGTGCGGCCCAAGTTGACCCTTCTCTGCAAGGATGTATAAAGCTGAATCACCTGCGATAACCTCTCAATAGGAGACTCACCCAGACATGATGCTCTGACTGCAGACGGTAAGGATGAGAAGGAGCGGCTGTCAGATAGGTGAGGTCCCATTAAGGTAAACACGGGGCCGTTCTGACCTCCTTTTATTCTAATTAAATCTTAATACTATGATGGGATGGGCTGGGTCCATCCCAGACACACCTTTGCTGTAAGGACAGATAAATATAAAGCCATCCCTTTATGACATATGATTCAATAGGCTTTGACTGTCACCAACTACAATCATTTTAATAGATGATTAGTTCTATTTGATCATAGGTGGCTCAGATGGTAAAGGATCTGCCTGCAATGCGAGAGACCCGGGATCGATCCCTGGGTCGGGAAGATCCCTTGGAGAAGGGAATGGAAACCCACTCCAGAATTCTGGCATGGAGAATCCCATTCTCCAGAAGCCATAGTCCATGAGGTCACAAAGAGTCAGATGTGACTAAGCCAATAACACACTTTAGAAACAGATGTACAAATAAACTCTTATAAAATTGGAGTCATAATGTCATCACGTCAGCAAGATGCCTACTCCTGATACAGGTGAGAACGTGAACAGGAAGCTGGAAAGAAGTATGGTCTGCCTTAGGCCTGGGAGTTCCAGCAAAGGCAGGGATTTGAGATGGGGCAGGCATGGTGCCCTTGCAGGATCTCTCTGTGAGACAAACATCACGAGGTACACCTGTGAGAAGGTGGCCGTGTGAGGACAGACAGCAGAGGGTCCGTATGCTCCTCGGCCCTGCAGGCGACACGACTGTCACTGAAGCAACTGCTCCATCCCAGGCATCCGCGGCCCTCTCATCCTTGCTCTTTCAGGAATGGTCCCTGTGATGTATTGCTTGTGTTCCCCCCCACCACCCACAGCTCCTATGAGGAAGCCCTAATGCCCAGTGTGATGGGATTTGAAAGTGCGGCCTCTGGGAGGTGATCAGGTTCAGATGAAGTCACGAGGCTGCAGCGCCCATGATGGAATTTGTGTCCTTGCAAGAAAAGGAAAGGGTCCAGAGGGTCCTTTCTCTGCCAGGTGAGGCCACGGCAGGAAGGCAGGCGCCTGTACACCAGGAAGAGGGTCCCGAACCCACGCCCACCGGCACTCAGACGTACAGCCCCCACAACCAAGAGATCAGCAACCAGTTTCAGCTCCCTGATGGCGGGGATGATTCTGTTTCAGCAGCCTGAGCTAAGACAGCTTCACAGTCAGAAACCTAAGATGCTGAGATCTACCCACTCCCTGAAAACCCAGGCTGAAGCCCACCCTGCGCTCTCGGAGCTCCTGTACCAACTCCCGTCTTTTGACACCACTGCATCCTATGAGCTCGTATTTTCACAGGCACAGAATGAACACATGTCGGCATGACTTCTGTGGCCCAGGCGCATCCCCTGAGTCACCGTGCAGTGGCTGGGCCACGCCTCCTGCTCAGCCTGGCCCACCCCACGAAGCCCCCCACCCCAACTGGTACTCACATCCAGGGACTCGAGGCAGTACCAGCAAAAGGCGTGTTTGCAGTTCTTACACATCATCTGGGCACAGCCTTCGTCCCGCTCAATGTAGACTTTGCACTTGGGGCAGCGCTTGATGGGCGCATCATCCTCGTCCAGCTTGAAAGTGGAGCTAAAGCGGGAAAGACCCTGTCAGGCTGTGCGTGGAGGCTCCGGGGTGACCTGCTGGCAGGGGCTGCCCCACAATCACGAGCTCAACTAGAGGGGCTGAGGTTGTGTGTGTGCTCAGTCATGTCCAACCTTCTAAGACCCCAGGGACTGCTCCCTGCCAGGCCCCTCTGTCCACGGGACTTCCCAAACAAGAATACTGGAGTGGGTTGTTATGAGGTCACCTGCTATTAAGTGAAATAAGTCAAAACCAAAGAATCTCAAACTCTGGAAAATAATCACCAAAAAAATTAAAAAAAAAAATGAATCAGCAACGGTCGGGGGAAAAATGAGCAAGGTCAGCACAGATCTAAATTTAGATGTGTACAGACAAACCAAAGAAAACAGGGCAGAGGCTTAGAAGGGAGGTGTCTGAGTGATGGGATTATGGTCAATTTTATGTCCTTATTCATGTACTCGTATAGTTTCCAAAAGGTTGATAATACATGATATGCTTTTTGTTATTATCAAGGGGAAAAAATGTCAAAAACACACACATGCTAATCACTTACTTAGATCTACTTGACGTCTGTACAAAATCGTTTTCCTGAGAGGGCTGGGCAGGTCACGGGGGTGAGTGTGGACAGGCTGAAGCCTGAGCTTGAGTGTGGCTCTTCTGTACACGGGCTGGCTGGCAACCTCTCTGAGCCCCAGCTTCTGGTTGGTATGAGTGTGGCAGATGGGATTATGCATGAAGGGCCCTGGGCAGGGCAAGCCTGTATGAAGTGCCCAGTGAGTGGCAGTGAGGGTTCTATGCTGCTCACAAAATGACAAGCTAGGTATCTTTCTAGGTTTAACTGTAGAAGGACACCCAGCCCATGCTGTTAAATTTCATGTCAGCTGAAAATGCACAGAGTCATCTGAAGAAGTGGTTCAAATTCACCAATTATGGGGTGAATTCGCTACATCGTATGAACCCACGGCATTTACCAAGGGGAACGTGATTCCCCACAGAACTGAGCAGACTGTGCAGAACCTAAAGCATTCATGAGTAGAGATTTACTGAAATTGAGAGCCAATTCTGGCATTTTGAATGCATTCTGCCTGTAGGACCTTCCACAAGCATCATAGTGACTGTAAGGGTTAAATACGTCATCACTCTACAAGGTTATCTGAGGACCGATGAGCTTCCAAACAATTACACAAGTTTCCCTGGTGGCATAGCAGTAAAGCCTCTGCCTGCAACACAGGAGACCACCTGCAATGCAGGAGACGCAGGTTTGATCCCTGGGTCAGGAAGATCCCCTGAAAAAGGAAATGGCAACCCACTCCAGGATTCTTGCCTGAGAAATCCCATGGACAGAGGAGCCTGGCAGAATACACTCCATGAGGTCGCAAAAGAGTCGGACGCAGGGACTACACCACCACCACCACCAAATGATTATACCCTTGGGGTCTTCCTAAGCTTGAGACCCTTGCACTGTGAGGCGTGCACCAGTTCAACAGGTTCTGTTTCATTCATTAGTACAAGGTGACCAGGAAAGACACGCTGGAAGGTACCTGGTCTCCCCGGGAAGGAAGGTGATGGGCGTGGTCTCCGGGCAACCCTGGCCGGGGTGCCAGCTGGCTTTGCAGGCAGAGCAGAACTCCGTGTCACAGGCTTTGCACTGGACCAGCTGGGGGGTGTGCAGCCCCATCTCCTGGAGCTGGCACACCGCCTGGCAGGTAGACGCCGGGCACCAAGTCCGACAAGGGTCCAGGAGCACCTCTGACACAAAGAGAAAAAATGGGCGAGTCAGAGTCTGCAGGACCAGGGAACTGGTGGGGCTTAGGACAGATGGACACGTCAGCACACAGCTTCTCGTATTTAAGGGAGAAAAGAAAATCAAGGTCAGACATAACATGCCCTTTAGGATCTGGGACCCACCTGGGTGCCCCTCCTCCCTCCAGCCACTCCCCACTCCCCAGCCCACTCACGTGGGGGGAGAGCAAACCCCCAAGTACCCCCAGAGTCCTCAAGGTTCTGGAGCCCCATTCTGGAAACCCCATGGTCCAGCCACTGCCTCCTGCCCCCACCTGCCTGCCCTGAGACACAGCGTTGCCACAGCAGCCCATCTGAAGGCTCACAGCCTCGGGCGGGGTGTGCTGTGGACACCCCTAAATGTTGGGTAAGGACAGAAGGATAAGACGAAAAGGAGATGGCTGGCTCTTCTCATCAAAGGGCGCATCCACCTACAATGGTTTCCATCCCAAATTCACATCAGAGCCCCGAGCTAAGGACTGTGTGAAATTCATTCTTCAACAGCCAGTTTTCCCTCTGAAGTGGAGTCTGATTTAATGAAATTAGTGAGAAAGCTGATTTTGAAAAACAGGACCCCGTGACACTCGCATGCCTTCACATCTGTGTCCACATCTCACGTTTCTTTAAATAGAGGGTCCTGAGCTGTCCCGCCCACCACAGTGAGCCTGATGATGGGTCCCGTGGGCCCTCTGTCCAGTGTGACTGGACTCTGAGTGCTGGGCAGCGGGAGGGAGCACCCAACTGGAACCCACACAGATGCTGATGCCAGGCCAAAAGGTAAGGAGGCCAAAGGATTACAGGGTGTTTGCAAAGGACTCCAAGTTGGCCACTGATTTGCAAGCTATTACCAGGGTCACTCTTGAGAAGGAATGGACTGTATTTTGCTGTGAACCTAGAAGCAATGAAAGGCTCTTTTCGGCCATGTGACTGGCCAGTGCTAGAGTAGGCCCGTTCACCCACATCAGAGACGGAATGTGTAGACACTGGGACCCCCAGCAGGCTGTGGCTGTCATGGGCTGCAGGCGGGCTGGGCTGCCCCTCAACAGGCATGTGTTTGCCACGTTCCCTGAACTGGAAGCCAGATTCAGCCCTCAAGTTCTTGTCGGGTACCAACAGACTGAAAACCACTTTATCATCTAATTCTGACAGTGAGTATTTCAGTCTTTAAGGGCCACAAGGTCTCCATCCAACTACTCAGCTCTACTTCGGTAGCACAAAGGCAGCTGCGTTGATCTGTAAAGGAGTGTTTCAATAAAACTTTATTTACAACGCCAAGCCAGGGGCCAGGCAGATTTGGCCCACCAGCCATGGTTGGCTGACTCCTACCCTATTTTAAAAAGGTGAATTACTCAATAGCACCTAGGGGCTTCCCAGGTGGCTCAGTGGGTACAGAATCTGCCTGCAATGCAAGAGATACAGGCAGATGCAAGTTTGATCCCTAAGTCAGGAAGAGCACCCAGAGGAGGGCATGACAACCCACTCCAGTAATCTTGCCTAGAGAATCCCATGGACAGAGGAGCCTGGCGGGCTATTGTCCCTAGGCTCGCAAAGAGTCGGATACGACTAAAGCGACTGAGCACAATCAATAGCACAAAAACTATCAAACCGATAGGTCCAGCAGAAGGTTTAGAAGACTTGCTAATACAAAGGAACTCTGGCATCCAGGAAAATGTGATACTTTCTCATCGATGTTCATGATAATAAGGTAAAATCTTCCTGAGGCCTCAGTGGTGAGTGAATGTGTAAAATGAGGTCTTGTCACGAGCTGAGAGTGTTTGCTTTTATAAGACTGTTTCTGGCTGTCAGATCCGAGGAGGTGGTTTTGTGGGGAAAATGCACGCGTGTGGGGACAGTAGTCTGTGGGTCCCCGGGCTGAGGGGGCAGGAGAAAGAAGGACGGAGGGATGAAGGGTGGCCTGGGGCACAGTGGGGAGGGGGAAGGAAATCCAAAGGCTGCTCCCCCAGAGTGCTGTGCCTTTTACCTGGTGGCCCTCCCCTGCCCCCATCTGGATTTCTCTACCAGCAGTTTGGGCTCCGGGCTGGATGAGCCTGGACCTGCCTCACCTACATCATGGGGCCCCCCACAGGCACGGCCCCCCAAGGATGGCACTGCAGGATGTGGGCGCTCAGCCTGCAAAGAAGGCAGGACACGTGCAGATAAGCTACATCCTCCGCTGGGTCGGCTTCCTGGCTGACTTGACAGAGTCTTCAGTGCGGGTCTGTCTGAGCCCCTAAGAGGACACCACTGCCCATTTCAGGTCCTTCCCGTCCCCACGGCGCCCCCTTCCTGCTCTCAGCAGCCTGTGCCACGAGGAGGGGACCGGCTTTCCCAAGGTCTCTTGCTGCCTCTCACTGCTGGGCAGCATCTCCTGGTCACTCCTCTCAGCTCTGCACGTATAGCCCTGATTACAGGATGCGGTGAGCAGCAGAGGAGACCTAGTTAGGGTTTCCATGGTAACTACTGGCATCGTGTGACTTGTGTTCTCTTGGAGCTGTGACAGGGCACTGCCCATCCCCACGGGAGAGAGTCCCTGCGGCAGATGGTGGGCAAACACCACACCCCACTGAGCTGCCAGCTCAGAGCCCCTCCGTTAGTGCTGCCAGCACCCCGCACCCCGAGAGCACAGCCTGGCTCTGCTCTCGGATGTCTATTAAAATTCTACAAGATCCCTCTGCTGCTGGAGTCCGCCCGCTGGGTGTGCAAGATGGGATCCGAACAACAGGAAGATCCACACTGGGCAACAGCACAGCTTTTCTTTCCAGGATGTATATCATACATATCAATGTCTGTCTGCCTATCTACCTATTTATCTATCCATCACATCTATATATTTATATATGTTATATGTATACGATCACATCTCTATACTACACACTAGATACATTATAGCCAATATGTTATGTTATACACATTGTATCTAGTATGTATACATGCACATATCTGTACATAATATATTGTCAAACAAAGCAAGAAGTGTGCCAGAGCACAAGAGGAAGAGACAAATCTTAGCTACCCCTCTCAAAGATAGATACATAAATAGAAATAAAGTAAGTCCCTAACAGCCCTACTCATCAAAAAGCCCAAGACTCTTGTAGAAGGTGTTCTTCTTTCTTAAACACAATTGTCCTTTGAGAAGCACGCTGTGCAGGGCAGTGTGTCCTCCATCCCTTCTGATACTGCTCCACTCCCACTGCCCCGAAATTTAAGTAAACCCTGAAGCATGGCACGATCAGTGTCCAAAGAGGAACTCCTGTGAATGCCATGGGGCATGTGAGCAAGTGATGGACCTTCCCAGGGAGCCTGTGGCTCCCAGCTTTGGGGGTCTTATAGCTGGCAGACGAAGTGCTCAGGAAAGACCTCCTCCCAGAACCTCCCTCCCAGCATCCTGCTCCTCAAGGACCCTGGGTGGAAGAGTGCGGACGCTCAAGTTAAAATAAGGCTCTGATATGAGACGTACAAATAGAGAGAGTATTGGAACTGTGACCAAAGCACTTTTTAAGTAAATAAATGTTGTCAGGAGATGATATAAACTGTCACTTTTCCACCAGTCACCATCCTCATCTGAAGGTGACTTCAAAGGGAGAGAGCAAATTGAAACCTGCTTCACTGATTCCATCTAGAATTTGCTCAGTTCAGTTCAATTCAGTCACTCAGTCGAGTCCAACTATTTGCGACCCCATGGACTATAGCACGCCAGGCCTCCCTGTCCACCAACTCCCAGAGTTTACTCAAACTCATGTTCGTTGAGTTGGTGATGCCATCTAACCATCTCATCCTCTGTTGTCCCTTTCTCCTCCCACCTTCAATCTTTCCTAGTATCAGGCTCTTTTCAAATGAGTTCAGCTCTTTGCATCAGGTGGCCAAAGTATTGGAGTTGCAGCTTCAACATCAGTCCTTCCAATGAACACTCAGGACTGATCTCCTTTAGGATGGACTGGTTGGATCTCCTTGCAGTCCAAGGGACTCTCAAGAGTCTTCTCCAACACCACAGTTCAAAAGCATCAATTCTTCAGCCCTCAGCTTTCTTTATAGTCCAACTCTCACATCCATACATGACTACTGGAAAAACCATAGCTTTGACTAAAAGGACCTTTGTTGGCAAAATAACATCTCTGCTTTTTAATATGTTGTCTAGGTTGGTCATAACTTGTATTCCAAGGAGCAAGTGTCTTTTAATTTCATGGCTACAATTACCATCTGCAGTAATTTTGCAGCCCCCAAAAATAAAGTCTCTCACTGTTTCCCCATCTATTTCCCATGAAGTGATGGGACCAGATGCCATGATTGTAGTTCTCTGAATGCTGAGTTTTAAGCCAAATTTTTCATTCTCCTCTTTCACTTTCATCAAGAGGCTCTTTAGTTCTTCTTTGCTTTCTACCGTAGGTGTGGTGTCATCTGCATATCTGTAGTTATTGATATTTCTCCCAGCAATCTTGATTCCAGCTTGTGCTTCATCCAGTCCAGCATTTCACATGATGGACTCTGCATATAAGTTAAATAAGCAGGGTGACAATACACAGCCTTGACGTACTCCTTTCCCAATTTGGAACTAGTCTGTTGTTCCCTGTCCAGTTCTAACTGTTGCTTCCTGACCTGCATACAGATTTCTCATGAGGCAGATCAAGTGGTCTGGTATTTCCATCTCTTTAAGAATTTTCCACAGTTTGTTGTGATCCACACAGTCAAAGGCTTTAACATAGTCAATAAAGCAAAAATAGGTATTTTTCTGGAACTCTCTTGCTTTTTCAATGACCCAACGGATGTTAACAATTTGATCTCTGCATCTTCTGCCTTTTCTAAATCCAGCTTGAACATCTGGAAGTTCACGGTTCACATAGTGTTGAAGTCTAGCTTGGATATTTATGAGCATTACGTTGCTAGTGTGTGAGATGAGTGCAATTGTGCGGCAGTTTGAGCATTCCTTGGCATTGCCTTTCTTTGGGATTGGAATAGAAACTGACCTTTTCCAGTCCTGTGGCAACTTCTGAGTTTTCCAAATTGCTGGCATATTGAGTGCAGCAGTTTCACAGCATCATCTTTTAGGATCTGAAATAACTCAATAGTTCACTAGCTTTGTTCACAGTGATGCTTCCTAAGGCCCACTTGACTTCACATTCCAGGATGTCTGGCTCTAGGTGAGTGATCACACCATCATGGTTATCTGGGTCATGAAGATCTTTTTTGTATAGTTCTTCTGTGTATTCTTGCCACCTCTTCTTAATATCTTCTGCTTCTGTTAGGTCCATACAATTTCTGTCCTTTATTGTGTCCATCTTTGCATGAAATTTTCCCTTGCTATTTCTAATTTTCTTGAAGAGATAGTCTTTCCCATTCTATTGTTTTCCTCTACTTCTTTGCATTGATTGCTGAGGAAGGCTTTCTTATCTCTCCTTGCTATTCTTTGGAACTCTGCATTCAGATGGGTATATCTTTCCTTTCCTCCTTTGTCTTTCGCTTCTCTTCTTTTCACAGCTATTTGTAAGGCCTCCTCAGACAACCATTTTGCCTTTTTTTCATTTCTTTTTCTTGGGGATGGTCTTGATCACTGCCTCCTGTACAATGTCACAAGCCTTCATCCATAGATCTTCAGGCATTCTGTCTATCAGATCTAATCCCTTGAATCTTTTTCTCACTTACCCTGTATAATTGTAAGGGATCTGACTCAGGTCATACCTGAATGGTCTAGTGGCTTTCCCTACTTTCTTCAACTTAAGTTGAATTTGGCAATAAGGAGTTCATGATCTGAGCCACAGCCAGCTCCTGGTCTTGTTTTTGCTTAGTGTATAGAGCTTCTCCATCTTTGGCTGCAAAGAATATAATCAATCTGATTTCAGTGTTGACCGTCTGGTGATGTCCATGTGTAGAGTGTTTTCTTGTGTTGTTGGAAGAGGGTGTTTGCTATGACCAGTGCCTTTGCTCGGTGACTGGCTATAATTAATAGCTCTGTTTCAGGTCTAACATTTTCATATTCCATTCAGACAGATCTCTGCTCCTATTAAGTCCGAGTCCTTTTTGTATTTTTTTGCTGCCTTGAACACAACGCTAGCAAAATATTCTAAAGTGATAGCTTTGAGAGATATTTTTTTAACCTAAGTCAAATTGGGTTCATTACTATGCAAAAGAAAAAAAAAAACTTCTTTGACAAGTCAAAGTACAGAAGAAATAACAACAGTTAAAATTATTAGGTAGGAACATTTACCCAGCTGCATTTTTAAATTCAATGTCATAGAAAGTTCATTTTCTTCTAACCCAAATAACTGCCAGTTTCTGTCAAAATTCCCTCTGGAAAATGTTTTCAGAAGAGGCTCACAGCCTCAGGAATCCAAATTAATCAAATTTATAGCTCTACATACCGACTTTTGTGTCACATGGCCATATATTTAAGCAATAAACTGCCCCAAACCAAAGAATATATGGCATTTCAATAAATAAGCACTTGAAAACAAATTTCAATGTCATCAGAACTCCTGTATGAATTTTTTTAGGTTGGCCACACACTACCTTTTTTTTTTTTGCCTTGAAAAGTGAGTCTCAAGAGGAAATGCAGCTATCTTTAGCATTTCTTTAAAAAAAAAAAAAAGGAGAAAAAAACTTTCCACATTCAGCTAAACACGGAGTCTATGGACACACTGCTCGGGTCTATTCCGCATTCCATCCTGACAGTGTTTTCCTGAAACACGATGCCCAGGGTTGTGCTCATCTCTCATGAACGCCAGATTCAGGAGACCACTAACAGCCCATCCAGGAAGAGTGGGGCGCAGACAGCAGTTGCTCAATAACCCACCCGGAAATTTTAGAATCCAGATACAGCATCTTCACAATAAAGTCTTACATACAGAGCGTTGTCTACAAATGTCTGTTATTCTGCTTCTTTTTAGATGAGCCCGGGGTCCAGAAGAGATATGAAAACAAGATCAAACAAAATCCACAGAATAATGCCATCTTATGAATCCGGCATGGGGCTTCCCTGGTGGCTCAGATGGTAAAGAATCTGCCTGCAGTGTGGAAGACCTGGGTTCAACCCCTGGGTCGGGAAGACCCCCTGGAGAAGGAAATGGCAACCCACTGCAGCATTCTTGCCTGGAGAATCCCATGGACAGAGGAGCCTGGCGGGCTACAGTCCACGGGGTCACAGAGTCGGACATAGCTGAGTGACTCACACACACACACGTGAACATGGCCTATTTCAGACAGCAAAGACAAAGATCCATCCCAGACAATCAATGTGTCTTAACATTGCAGCAGCCTGGCTCCAGCCAGGAGCAGTGGGTGGGACACTGCAGGGGTGAGGGGGGAACCTGGTCCATGCCCTTCCACCCACCAGAGATGGAAACCAGGGCACATTAGTTAGCCTCTGAGGGTGTCAGGCTAATAGGCAACCCTGTTGGGCTGCTGTGAGGCTTGGTGAGACAAGACCCCAGCACCCACTGGCCCCGTCGGCGTGCAGCAGACAGTGAGGGCAACAGAGTGGTCAGGGTGATGACCATCACCATTCCACCCTGCCTGACCTTGGGACTTCCTTCCAAGCTTCCTTCCAAGGCTTCCTATCTTTAAAATTCTTTGACGGCCTAAGAATTAGTCCTCAGACTGTTAGGCCTTAACCTGGCTGGAGAATAACACCCCGTGAGGGACTCTTTAAACCAGCCCCATAATCCCAGATCCCTAGAAGCAAGCTGTTCCATGTATCTTCCCTGCTACCAACTCTGCCCCCCAACAGAGGCCATTCAACTGTGAGCTCTGCAGAAAACTCAAATGACAGCCAAACTTCAGAAGGCTAATTTACATCAATGTTTTCATGTCCAGTGCATCCAAATGATGCACAGTGGCATCCACCGAAGCACTCCACCCAGTTTACACACCAGATTCAATAACAGGAGTTGTAAGCAGCTGCGACACCGGGGCACCTACCTCTTTCAAACTGTAGCTTTTTGTATCTTTGCATAATTTCAGCCGCCACCATGCACTCAATCTAAGGGAAGAAACACAAGAAAAAGGAGTCTAACCATCTGAGGGCTCGAACACAATGCCAGGTCATCCTGGACAGAGACTGGGATCCCTGACTCACTGGGGAGCCCCCGCATGTGCACCCTGATTCCCCCAGCCATACGTGCCTCATTCTCCTGCAGGTGGCCCTGTTTGGGGCAGGCAGCATCTGGACAGCTAATCGCAGTTTCTAATCCTTCTTTGATCAAGAGCTCCACATACTGCTTCAGGCACTGAAAAAAACAAAACAGAGAAGTATCTGTAAACATCTTCCTGAAGGCTGAAGAAGGAGTGATGCATTAAAAAAAAAAAAAGAGACAAATCAAGCACATTGTTCCAGTACAGTTTTTTTGTATTTTTGCCCTGTAGTCCATGGCAACTACCAAATTAGAGGTTATATTCACTCGACAAATATTTGCGGGGTACCTCTGCTGCACCAGGGCTGAGGATGCGGTTGGGTCCCTGTGCCCGACCTCGGCAAACACCATGCCACTGTGCTCGGTGGGAGGAGCGGGGAGGCAAGGGAGGCTGGGGACCCGTACCCCTCAAACACACGCCAGACGTCAGGGCTCTGCTCAGTCCCCTGTATGCCACTGTTTCACGTGGTGCTTAGAATGTTTTTGCAGGAAAGTTATGACGATGCCATCAATCAGGTGAAAACTAGGACCCAAACAAGGAACTGCCAGCTTCCCCAGACAGCGAGGGCAGAGCCCAGACTCCAGTGCAGCCTCACCTGCCTCTAGGCCACCCCGGCGCCCCCACCGAGAACCCAGGTCGAGCTGCCCACCCTCCTGCAGTGACCTCTCACGCAACGGGCAATGACTGGCTATCACCCCCCGCCCCTCGACTTGGCCGTCTGACTGAACATCCGAAGTCAGAAAAGTCAGTAGGGGACACAACCCTGAGCTCATGCCAAAGTGAAGCAGCCTTTCCCAGGGCCGGTCCACTCCTGCATTACTGTCTGCTGGTCTCGGAAATCCAATGCTCCCTGAAAAGCACTTTTTAAACAACAAGTAGAAGAAAAGTGACGGTCTTCTCTAGGCAAGGTCACTGCCCAATGTGACTGAGACAGACCCTGAAGCACTTACATCAGATGACATCAAAACTCAAAGGGGATAAGAAACCGGACCTCTCAGTGACGGGAGCACAAAGTGAAATGTCTCAGCAGCATCTCCAAGTCCACTTCCCGTCACAGCCCAGGCCACAGAGCTACAGAGACACCTGGAAGCCCAGTCCGTCCAGGCAGAGATGAGGATCGGTCATGTGATGGGCTCGGGCCACAGCTCTTTGGACAAGAGACCAGAGGTGCCCATCCTGCTGAACATCTGTGACGGTAAGAAAGAAAGTACGGAAAATCACCTGCCACGATTCCTGCTACACAGACCAGCTAAGTGAGAGGGGTGGCTGTTATCCGCTGCGTGTGTATCTTGGTGATTGGTGCCTTACAGTCACAGGTGTAAAAAATATCACAACCTTAGCTGCAAGATCATTCTTTTACTTTTTTATAATTAAGTCTGTCTAAATCGAGTCTCTGGGGGACACTAGAATGCCATAAAGCGATAAAACGCCAGAAACTCTCACAAAATTGTGCAGAGAGGTACACAATGAAAGAAAGCTGACAAAATACAAGAGTTAAAGCTGGTGTGACAGGTACACTCAGGGGACATTTCCGGCTCTAAGCATCGTTGTGCAAGGACTTGCATGTATCAACAACCAGTGCGTCAATCCTGGGGAGGGCTACCTTGGGGGTGAACATTCTATGCCGCCAGCAGGCTCTGCACAATCTGCAAAATGACTGTTTCTGGAAGCATCTATTTGCATACTACATAAAAGGGATGGGGAATTCTCTGGCGGCTCAGTGGAGAAGAACCCGACGACCAATGCAGGAGATACCAGTCCGATTCCTGATGCGGGAAGACCCCACATGCCACGGAGCAGCTAAGCCCGTGAGCCACGCTCTTGAGCCTGTGCTCTAAGGCCCGGGAGGCCGTAACTCCTGAAGTCCACGCGCCCTACGGCCGTGCTCCACAACAGAAGTGACCACAAGAAAAAGCCAGGACACCACAACTAGAGAAAAGCTTGTGCAGCAACGAAGACTCAGCACAGCTAAAAATCAATTAATTAGTTAAACTGAAAAAAAAAAACACACACACAAAGACTAGAAGAGAACGAAAGCCCCTTTAAAGGAGGGAGCGATGAGGATCTGGATCTGACCAAGCATCCATGGAAAACAAGTCCGGTCTTCTTCCAGATAGAAACTGGGCCATGACTCACAAGCTGTGTTTTTCAATCTAATGGCAAAAAGATGTCTTGAAATGAGCACCCAAAAATGCCAGAGAAACCTCGGTGAAAATAAATATACAGGACAGAGGCAGACACTGATGTATTCCCGACTATCGTATTAATTACAGCTCTCTGTAACCAAAGGCCTCAAGACTCCGCGTTAATCACCACCTGTGTTAGCCAACTAAACAAACAAGACTCTTAGGAGGTGTTAATCGCTCCCCTTAGACAGAGAAGAGAACAAAGCTCAGGGAAGCCAGAAACAGGACAAAGTCAGGGTCTGTAAGTGGAGGAGCTTGGCTCAAACCCATGTATGCCTGACTCCAAAGAGGTGGCGGTTTTGTTTTTTAAACTCTCGCCTCCTTCCTCCCCAATCAAGAATTCTTTCGTAAGCAATCATTTCTTACTTTTTCTGTTACCTCAGAGTGTGTCTCTATGTGTCCCTGATGCTTGGGTGCCGGGACCCTCCAAGACATCAAGACCCCCAGTTCAGTTCAGTCGCTCAGTTGTGTCCGACTCTTTGCAACCCCACGGACTGCAGCACGCCAGGCCTTCCTGTCCATCAAGACCCCCAAGGTCCCCCCAAAGATGCACCGTGCTGAGGTTTCAGGGGGGGTCCCACCTTGGGAAGGGGGATCAGGAAGGTACGAGAGATAGAAAGTTGGCCAGAGGAACAAGGCCTCTCAGGAAAGGGGCGTCCACTGCACAAAGAATAGGAAGGTCCGGAAGCCGGGAGGTGGTGTATGGAGAGCTGCAGAAAGTTCCAGATTGTTCATTCTCCACTTTCTCGCCCAACCCGTTGAAAGCCGGGTCCAAAGATGCAGAGGGGGTCTACCGATCTGCTGGGACCCCTGTTGCAGCGGAATCCTTCGCCAAGGAGAAGGGGCCGCAGAGAGACGGCTGCCCGGTATGGAGTCTGCAACAAGCCTGAACTTGGTCTGCTTTCTCCCTGGGAGGCCCATCGGTTACTGATGATGCTAACAGCTGGGAGAAACCCCGAGAAATCGTGCTCAAAAGTGCCTGAATGGCTTCCGCTTATCAGGGATCCGTGTTTATAAACAGCCCACAAAGGCAGATCTGAACAACGGCCGTGGGACTCCCGTGGACCGGGTTCAGGCAGATAAGACCCTGGGACCACCGCTCTGGTGGGGATGCCAGGGAACCCTCATGCCAGATGTGGGCATGCACCTCTCTGAGGCCCCCGGCCCCTCACAGTGTGGAAGGAAACAAACCCCAAGGACAGAAAAGGATGCTTCGGCGGATAGGTGCCCGCACACGTACCATGAGTTCTGCCCAGCCCCCACGGCCTCACTCAGGGAGGGTCTGCGTACCCCTCTCCTCTGCTAGGAGGCAGGCTCTTTGAAACCCAGGCTGTTTATGCTCCCAGGCCCTGGGCCTGATGGAGTGCTGGTGAAAAGCAAGGCCTTAACAGCTTGGCAGGAGAGACAGAGGCCAACAGCTGGGGGGGTGAGTAGTCTGTACGCAGAACAAGCCGACACGCACACGTGAACATGGACACGCATCCGTGCAGAGGAGGGGAGACCTGGGGTGGGGACCTCAGGTCACTGCCAGAGAGCCAGCTGGACGGGCATCCCGGGCCTCTCGGCGGGCGAGGAGGGCAGACACGTCCTACAGGGCTGTCCTCAGGAGGCTGGAGCCACTGCCTGGCACAGCGGGCAAGACGAGGATGCTTCATGCAATCCACCCCCCCAACCCTCAACTGCTGCCAGGGACTGGAAACCCGAGCAGACCACCCAGCAAGCCCCGCCGTGTATGTTCTGGCAGCAATACCACTCCAGGCTGCCGGGATTGACTTCACCCGAACCAGGGACTCCAAGAGATGAAGGCTGCTTTTGTATTAATAAAATTTTTAGAGGGAAAAGAAAAAAAAAAATCAGATTTACTTTCTACTGGACGAAAAAAAAACACCTTACATCTACATGTACTCTGGGTCTGGTGGTCTTGCCAAACCACCAGCAAGCTGTCTCCTGGACTCACCTCCCCTGAGATCTCTGACCCCTCGGGCGCTGAAGTCCAGGTGGGCCCCACAGTTGGGGGGCACTAATGTCGATACTCAGCCCCCCATGTGTTCCCTGGGCCTCTCCCTCAGGGTTTCTAAGAGTCAAAACCCAGTCAACCGCTGGACCAGGAAAATGACTTTCCCTGCAGGCACTGTCCCCGGTGGAAGGATATACAAAGAAGGCCTCAGGACACCAGTTCCTGCCACTCCGACCCTATTAGCCTGCAGCCACCAGCCTCTCTCTGTCCACGTGGACATCTTCCCACCAAAACCCCGCCAGCCCACTAGTCCAGACTGGGGTGCCCATCCTTTCCACAGGCTCCCCGACCTGCAGCCTGGTGTCCGCGCACAGCTGACCCCACAGGCAGCTGGGGCAGACGTGACCCCTTCTGAAGTCCGGTCGCCCCTCGTGGGAGGGCGTGTGACCACAGGTGCATAGACAGACTCGGGCTGAGTCCGTCTCATGGGCAACGCTCTCCCTCAAGAGACGGAGTCGACAGTTCTCAGCTGCGAGTCTGTCACTTGCTGGGATTTTCCAGGTCAACTAAACCAGCGGACACTGGGCACCCGCTTCTCCGGAGGGTGGCGTGGGGAGCTGTGATGGTGGCAGGAGGACCTGGGTGGCCGTCCCTGCCTCACCACAATCAGCACGAAGAGGCAGACTGGTTGGCCGGAGGTGTGGACGCTGCTCATTCAATACTGCCACCCAGAGAGGAAGCTGTCCATCCCAGGGCTGGGTGCGCCCACGGCAGAGAACCTCCAGGAGACGGTGCACGGGTATGACAGCACATGGAGTCGAGAAACAGAGCAGGTGGTCCTGGGGGACTACGAACCCCCAGGGGTGGGCGGGGGAGATGCGGAAGCCCCCCAGAGCTGAGCCGAGTAGCAGGTGTCATCTATGGAGGCCGTGGGTTCCAGGGTGCCCGGAGTGGATGCACATCACCAAAAGATGTTGTATAAGAACCTGGTCTCCATGTGTGAAGATGAACCTGATGGGGCAGGATGACCAGTCCCAATCAGGGCACCGGGACGGCCCTGGCTGTGGGTAGGGATCTGGGCCCAGCCTCTGCCCAGCCTGCAGCTACACCAGGATCTGAAAAACCAGCCATGAAACATGAACCTGCCTTGGGAAGCCCTGCTGATGCGGCCACACGCCTACTGATAAAATGCACGAGGATGCCCTTTGTTCTGAGAACTGGGCCATGGCCACAGGGACCCGGAGGATGGATGACGCCTGACCCCGGGGGCCGGACTCATGGTGACGTTGGGAGGTGACCAGGAGGCGACAGAGGGCGTGTTCTACGGATGACTCAGGCCAGCTCTGATGACCCGGGAGTACTCTGGGACCGAGCCGGGCCTTCCCCTTGCTCCCCCAGCCTCACAGAAGAACATGAAGCTGAAGCTACGCCTTCTGCTCATCCGCAAAGACCACCAAACATCTGATGCTGCCTGTCCCCAGCATGCTGGCTGAGAGGCGGAGCTCCTATTGGGTAGGTGCCATCCGCCCCCACTCCGCAGGGAGGGTGCTCTCCTTGGGCTTCTAACCAAGCTGCAGGAGAAGCCCTGCGTGCAGGACATGGTCTATCTGCTCCAGAGTCATGCAGGATCAAGAATGAGCATGTAACCTGACTACATCTTCATCACGAAGACCTCCCAGGGGAAGGGAAGACAGGAGGGGTTGTGAGGAAGTGAAGCTGCTCGGTCAAGTCTGACTCTTCTGTAGCCCACCTGGCTCCTCTGTTCATGGGATTTCCCAGGCAAGAGTACTGGAGTGGGTTGCCATTTCCTTCTCCAGGGGGTCTTCCTGACCCAGGGATCGAACCCAGCTCTCCCACATGGCAGGTAGATGCTTTACCATCTGAGCCTCCAGTAGGAGGGGTTAACATACAATAATTCAGGGAGCTGCAAGTGAAATCAACAGTGGTCCCTCGTGCGGATTTCTGGGGCTTCCTCCATGTTCTCGGGCACCCAGAGTGTCCCAGGGTGGGTACAGAGACGGACACGGCACATGGTGCTGAGCAAATCCACTGAACCGGGATGGTCATCTGAGTGCATCTTTTAGGACAAATGTTCCCCGGGACGCATGGCTGGGGAAAGCTGCTCTTTTGGATTCCTGCAGTTCTGACCCCAAACTCAGAAACGAGCAGCTGAAGGGGTTAAGAGCCTACAGACGGCCTGCCACGGAGCAGCTCCTCCACACGCGTGCCCTGAGCCTCGGGGTGAACTCCGTTCATCTCCATTACTTGGGTGAGGCCCACGAGAGTGGCGGGGTCAGAAACAGCCTGCATTTCAAGGCGCTGACACCTGACCCTAGCTCCAGGCTTTCTCTGGACCCCCTTCCTCCTCAAGGTCAATCTTCTTCTGACCTAAAGCCTGTAAATCTCTGGTCGTTTTTTATCTTAAGAGAGCCTTCCTGCAGCCTTGCACAACTTCCTTTCTTCATTCTTCTCTTCTCAGGTCTGTCCCCAAGAAAAAGACACAGGCACTTCTGCTGGTGGGGGGCCCAGGGGCCTCCACGAGGGGACGGGGCCTTCCCCCGCCCACTCAGTCTGTGGACACGCAGGTGTTTCCTGTGCTTCAAGCCACATGGAGCTGCAGGCACAAGCAGGCCTGGTCTCAACATCTTAATTTTTAATAAACGGTTGTGAAAAAAAAAACCAAACCATCCCCTATTTCTTAGTGCTCCCAGCAAGCCCCCTGTGAGAAAACAGTGCTCTTCTCCTCTATTCACAAGCTCTGACTTAAATTAAGTGTCTGATCTGAATTAGAGCTGCTATCTGGTAGAAATAGGAAACTAAAACAAGGACAACAAATGAAAGGCGGGGTGAAACCACGGCGGGGTGAATGAGTGACCTCACAGAGGAGGAGAGCTGTGGTCTCCGGAGGCCCTCCCCACGATGCTATACTGGGGGCGACAGGGAGGGGCTGGGAGCTCGCTCTCGGGCACAGCTGCATAGGGAAGACAGCCAGTTAGCTGAGACTGGAAAACTTCCCTTCAGGCAAGAAAAGAGGCAATTTTGCATAAAGGGGATTCTTTAATCCAGCCAGACACGGCTGGACCATTCCAGTTCACCCTCCAGAAATGAAAACGCTCTGTGTTCTTGGGCTGGAGGTCTGTCTGTCCATCTACCTCCCCCAGGGACCTCTGCCTCCCATCCTTCCCCAGCTCAGAAAATGCCCCCAAACAGCTTCCCGTGCTCCAGGTTGAATTTCCTTTCCTGGAGCTTCAGTGAGGCAACATTGCTTGGCCACCAAGCACGCAGCTGAGGCCGACTCTCTGCGATTCAATCCAGCCACATTTCCTGATTATCTGATAGCATCACAGACTCAATGGACAAACTCCCAGAACAAACTCTGGGAGATGCTGAGAGGACAGAAGAGCCTGGCGTGCTGCAGTCCATGAGGTTGCAGAGAGTGGAACATGGCTGGGCCACTGAACAACAGCAATCACGGGTCCCATTGTAAACCAGGTATTTGGGGGCAGAACTGTGCCCTCAGGAAGCCAGGGTCTAGCATAAAAGGAAGTTGGATACACAGACTTAAATGACTGCAACCTCCGTCTCCTCATCCGTAAAAGGTAGATGATGCTACCAAACGAGCCTACATTTCAAGGAGATCAAGAGACAGACAGACAAAGGGGCAGGAGGGAAGAAGCCTCTGGGGAGGCGGCTGTGAGCGGACGGAAACTAAGCAGGACATCTGAGCAACACACAGGCAGGCCGTCTGGAGAGTTTACTTAACACAGTAACTTTTTTAGTTTTTCACAGTTTGAAGAAAAAATATTTTTTCTGGACTTTTTTTTTTTTATTTTGGAATTCCCTGAATGGGAAAAAAATAAAATTCAATGAGACAAACTGAAAAGAAAGCCTACACCCTCATTTTTCTTTTCTGGCGAGTAAAATGTTGGGTCTGAGTAAGGCCTGCTGGGGACAGAAGACCTGCAGCCCTGAAGTCCCACACAGCCTTTGGCTCAAAATGAAGCTGGCTGCATCTTCAGGAGATTCAAGAGTGATTTCAACATGCTCATGGGAGGGGAGTTTGGGAGAGAATGGATGCACCTGCATGCACGGATGGGCTTCTTTGATGTGCACCTGTAACTCACAGGGGCGTCCCTGATAGCTCAGCAGGTAAAGAATCCACCAACAATGCAGGAGACGTGGATTCAATCTCGGGGTCAGGAAAATCCCCTGGAGAAGAAAACAGCAACCCAGTCCAGTGTTCCTGTCTGAAAACTCCCATGGACAGAGGGGCTCCATTCTAAAGAGTCGCAGAGTCAGACACAACTGAGTGACTAAGCATACTGACATGCATAACTATCACCACATTGTTAATCGACTATACATCAATATAAAATCAATTAAAAGAAAAATACATCCTCTCCAGTTTAGCACTAAGGCCGTGCCAGCTGACACGCACAGCCGACTCTCCTGGTGTGCACACTCACCGGGACGGCACCCTGACCATCTCAGGCACGCCATCGTTTCCTTACACTGGACACAAGCTACAGTGAAGGTTTCTTCTCCAGAAAGGAGCGGGCACACCATGGCAGGGTTTCTCAGCTGTGTTCCCTGCTTCTAAGCCTCTGTGTAACTGATCACTTCTGCACCATGAGCACTTGCAAAGGAGCCTGCCTGGGGAGTCGGACAGGCTCAGAAGAGAATCCTCTGAATAAAACTGCGTGAAAGTGAGGGTGACCCTGCATGCTGTCTCTAAAACAAAAGCAAAAGGCACATCCCGAAATCCTTTTAAGCCGGCGTTCCCGGCGAGACCAACCAGGGTGCAGAAGACGCACTGGCACTGGGAGATGGTCGTCATCTGCTCCACGGGGTACTCCCCCAGACACAGCTTGCAGGACACCAGCGGGTCCAGGGCCAAGTCCCAGGATGGCCGGCACGCGCGCGCGGCGCTCATGGCAGAGCAGTCTGAAACGAGAGAAGCACAGGCCGTCAGATCCGCGTGGCCTCCACGGAGCCCGGGCAGGGCCACTCCTGGCTGAACCCGGGGCCCCGGGGCTGGCCGAGTGACTGCTGAGGGGCCCGAGTTTCATAGGCCTCATTGGGTTCTCTGAGAAGTTTTAGCCAGAGGCCCCTGACATGGTCTGTGGGTGATACTTCCTCTCCAGTATTGACTGTAATACTCCTTTCCCGTATTGATGGTAATATTCCTTCCCCCATTGATGGTAATATACCTTCCCCGTATTGATGGTAATAGTCCTTCCCCATATTGATGGTAATATTCCTTCCCCGTATTGATGGTAATATTCCTTCCCCGTATTGATGGTAATACTCCTTCCCCATATTGATGGTAATAGTCCTTCCCCATATTGATGGTAATATTCCTTCCCCGTATTGATGGTAATATTCCTTCCCCGTATTGATGGTAATACTCCTTTCCCTGTATTGATGGTAATATACCTTCCCCGTATTGATGGTAATATTCCTTCCCCTATTGATGGTAATATTCCTTCCCCATATTGATGGTAATATTTCTTCCCCATATTGATGGTAATATTCCTTCCCCCTGTTGATGGTAATATTCCTTCCCCCTGTTGATGGTAATATTCCTTCCCCGTATTGATGGTAATATTCCTTCCCCGTATTGATGGTAATATTCCTTCCCCATATTGATGGTAATATACCTTCCCCGTATTGATAGTAATATACCTTCCCCGTATTGATAGTAATATTCCTTTCCCGTATTGATGGTAATATACCTTCCCCGTATTGATGGTAATATACCTTGCCCTATTGATGGTAATGACCTTCCCCGTATTTATGGTAATGACCTTCCCCTATTGATGGTAATGTACCTTCCCCGTATTGATGGTAATATTCCTTCCCCCTATTGATGGTAACATTCCTTCCCCATATTGATGGTAATATACCTTCCCCGTATTGATAGTAACATTCCTTCCCCATATTGATAGTAACATTCCTTTCCCGTATTGATGGTAATATTCCTTTCCTGTATTGATGATAATATTCCTTTCCCGTACTAATGGTAATATACCTTCCCCGTATTGATGGTAATATTCCTTCCCTCTATTGATGATAATATTCTTTTCCTGTATTGATGATAATATTCCTTCCCCCACTGATGATAATATTCCTTTCCTGTATTGATGGTAATATACCTTCCCCGTATTGATGGTAATATTCCTTTCCTGTATTGATGGTAATATTCCTTCCCCCTATTGATGATATATTCCTTTCCTGTATTGACGGGTCTCGAGGGATCCACTCAGCCCCATCCTTCCTTCCGTCCCTCCAATGGGTCTTGAGGAAGACACCACCACACCAATCAAGCACCCAGCCCAGGAGGGCAGGACCTCAGCAAGCCAGTGAGAGAAGCTTTTGTTAAAATAGTTGTTGATCAGGTCAAGCTGTTCTCTGCTGTAGGAACATCACAGGGAAGCCAGTGTGTGAAGCTCTGGCCTCAATGCTCCATATCCTCCGGGTGGAATGGTCTTCCCACACCGTTTCTGTCCTCACTGCCCAGGTGTCAACTGACCTTCCAGAAACAACCCATGCACCACTGCCTCCTAAGACAGTCCTGGAAGACTGTCTAAACTGTGAGCTTCTTTTCTTTAAAAAAAAAAAAAAATTACATCCTCTTTTTGTGTTTTAACAGTCATAGTTCACTGGGTATCACTAAGCAAATATTAGTTAGGATGAAGCACTGTGGGTTCCAGGCAGGGCACTGGTGGAGGGAAGGCACTGTGACTCAAGGGAAGAGACCACACGATGATCTTGAAAACTCAGAGGAGATAAGACACAAGGACACAAGACCCAGGGTGTGAGTGACCTCAGGCTCACAGAGCAGCAGAGGGGACCCTGACCTGTGAGAGCTCAGACAAACAAGGGGGATTATCGAATTCCAGCTGGAATGGGCTTCGGGGGTGAGGACAGAAATCAGAATTCAGAGCACTGGCCTCTTCCCAGGTCAGTTAATATCTGAGAGCAACTTAGTCTGAAGTAGGTGTAACTTCCATTGTTAGAAGAGAACTCTGAGATGGTCTGTGGCTAAGAATCTGCCTGCCAATCCAGGGGAGAGGGGTTTGATCCCGATCAGGGAAGATCCCACAGGCCACAGAGCAAGGAAGCCCGTGCACCCAACTACCGAGTCGGTGCTCTAGAGCCAGGAGCCGCAGCTGCTGAGCCCACACGCCACAGCCTCTGCTCTGCAACGAGAAGCCACTGCAGTGAGAAGCCCGCGCTCCGCAACCACAGAGCCGTGCCCGTTCCGGGAAACGAGAGAAAATCCGCATGCAACTATGAAGACCCGTGCAGCAAACATGAACAAATAAAATTAAATAACATTAAAATAACATTGAAAAAAAGAAGAAGAGGGCTCTGATACAAATTCAAGTAGCTTTCGGAAGGGCTGGAATCTTCCAGATAATTAAACATGATAATTTGAACTTAAGTCAAAGGGGCCAGAACACTTGGTTGACTTGAGGGGTCATTCAGTAATCTGGAGAGTGCAGAGGGTACCAGAGTCAAGACTCCCCCACTCTCTGAGTCTATTTTCTTTTGTAACATTTCCCTGCACCTTGAATCTACGCTTTTTATTATTATTTTAAATGTCCACTGTTGTTTGGATCCTGGGATCATGGGCCAAGATTTTTTTGTTTATATTTCCCAGCACCTTCCTCTGTTTCAATCCTTAATGTCTCTTAAAGCTCACAGGATGGAGGGCCGACTATATTTTGATTAAGAATGTTGTTGCTGCTGTTGTTCAGTAGCTCAGTCGCTCAGTTGTGTCCGACTCTTTGTGACCCCATGGACTGCAGCATGCCAGGCCTCCCTGTCCTTCACCATCTCCCGAGGCTTGCTCAATGTCCACTGAGTCAGTGATGCCATCCAACCATCTCGTCCTCCGTCATCGCCTTCTCCTCCTGTCTTCAATCTTTCTCAGCATCAGGGTCTTTTCTAATGAGTCAGCTATTCACATCAGGTGGCCAAAGTATTGGAGCTTCAGCTTCAGCATCAGTCCTTCCAGTGAGCATTCAGGACTGATTTCCTTTAGGACTGATGGGTTTGATCACCTTGCTGTCCAAGGGACTCTCAAGAGTCTTCTCCAACACCACAGTTCAAAGGCATCAATTATTTGGTGTCAGAATGTTAGTTAAGCCCTAACAGAGATCACAAAACTTTATTGGAAGCATTGAGAAATCACTTAAGACTGGAAGTGTCCCCAAGGAGGCAGAGGTTGCTTAATTGGCTTTTCTGTCCTGGAGAGCTGTGGACAGGCAGCAGTGGACACTGTCTGCTAGGTCTGGGGCCCAGATTCTGCAGGGATGTCACCTGCCAAGCAGCAGATGACACAGTATGTCACCCAGAGACCCGGGTTCAAATTCCTTTCCTGCCACTTGGTCATGTGACTTTGGAGAAATTATTCAACCTCTGGACTTTAGCTAAGTTTTGTTTTGTTTTTTCTTTCCTCTCTGTAAAACCTATACACCATCACCTCCCACGTACAGTTGTGAAGAGTGAGTGAGAAATAATATATTTAAAATTCCTGGGACAGAGTGCCTGCTTGGTAAGCAGAGGTCATCGTGCTATGTCAGATTGAAGAGTCTGAATATTAACTGATGCGAATGAAAGTGAGGAGAGAAGCTGAACCGAAAGATGATAAGTGGACTCAGGGTCAGGAAGTTCACACTGATGGGCCCAGATTACTTTGGAAGAAGGAAACAATCCAAACCTCAGAAACCTCTGGCTTTATCATCTGCTGTGCAGGCTGTGGTAAGGCTGGACATCACCCCATCTGGCAGAAATCGGGAGCTTACCCCTTGCACACCGTCTTGAAGCCCACGGCCCTGTCCCCACACACTGCCTCTCGAGGTGGACCGCAGGTCGCCTCTGCTTGGTCCGTTCCCAGACGACTCACTCCCCTGCAGCTTGCTGCCTTTCCTGTTTACGGCCTGGCCAAAGACACGACTCTCAGTCCAGTGCACAGGGCTTGACCTCTTGCTTCCTTTCTTCCTGGACCACGATTTCCACTTGACCTGAGACAGCTCGGCCTCCCACTGCCCTGCGCACAGGTCAGTCTTGGCCCCTCACCTCCATACCTCCCGATTTAGCCTTGGAGAAAGTCAGACATGATATCCTGGCACCTGGTCAGTTTTCTTTCCTCCAGAGTAGACACTCTCTGAGATGAGCTCGTCATCACGATTAAGAGGGAACAACAATTGGGCATATTTTACCCCCCAAAAAAAAAAAGAGTTACATTGTCTAAGCCCATCACGACCTTCCCGACACACAGGATGGGCTGAATATGACCTTGCAAACATTGAGCAGCTGCAAACTTGAAATAGGAGTTGGCAAAGCAACTCACAATGCACAATGTGAGAAAAAACAGTCTTTGTTTTCCTAATGTGAATGTCAAGTCGAATGAAACAACAAACTATTTTAAGAACATCTGGTCAATTATAAGTATTATTCAATCTAAGCAACTCAAAATGTTTATAAGGCAAGTCCCTCATTAAGCACAACGGGGTTATGCAAAGGGGGTGCATGGTGAAGAGAGGTCTACAAGGATGAGAAACAGCCAGAAAGGAAAAGAACCCATTGAGGGAGACAGTCTTAAAGGTATGGTGTGGTTATTTGGCCAGAACCATCCTAGCTCTGGGGCATTCCAGGTGACTCAGTGGTTAAGAATCCAGCTGCCAGTGTAAGAGACGAAAGAGACTCTGGTTCGATCCCTAGGTTGGGAAGATCCCCTGGAGGAGGAAATGGCAACCCACTGCAGTATTCTTGCCTGGAGAATCCCATGGACAGAGGAGCCTGGCAGGCTACAGTCCAAGGGGTCCCAAAAAGTCTGACACGACTGAGCGACTAACACACATCCCAGCCTCAGGCTTTGGGGCTATGGATCCTGCACGTCCCTCTTTACCCTCCGTCACCCCT